GAGGTAATAGAATTACCAAGGGTGGGAAGTGGCCTGGGGCCATAGGGAAGCAAGACGATGGAGGGCCAGGCTAGGTCAAGGATGACAGAATTGGGGGATTGGGTATAGTGGAAACCATGGAATCATGGCCTCAGGGGAGTGCCGGAGATCTCCTTGATCAAGTGGGAGAATTCAAGGACAATCCAAAGGTTTTTTAGGGCCCGTCGACAAATGGGGCCCAAATTGGGACAAAGGTCTCACTTTGGGCCCATACCCCATCAACACAGCTAGTAAGTGTGGGCTGGATTTGAACTCAGGTTTCCTGACTCTAGTCCCAGCACTCTATACATACACTGCACCATCTAGCTACCCAGCACTAGTCTAGTATTATTTATTTTTTAGCACATTGCAAAGGCTTTCAACTCATTCAATCTACTCCTCTCCTCTTTATTCCTTTCATCCCTGCCTCCATCCCCCAAACTCCAGCTTTTATAGAGTTTCACTGACTTAAGGAAGGAAGAAAGCCAATGGGGGGAAAAATCCCATCTCTAAAGTAACACCCAAAAAGATTAGGCCAATTACTGGAGAAAAATAGTCCAAGGCATTCCTAACTTCTTGAGGATGGGGGTGGGGTGGGAGCAGGGATTCTTATCTGTACTGAAAAGCATTATCTCGTCACTCTGCCTTTTTAGTAATAGCAGAGATAGGGAAATGACCTTTGATCTCCTTCTTAGGGATCTGCCAGGTGAGGAAACAGCCCTCTGTCTATTCAGATAGACACCATATCTTTGCTCTGTACTCTTACAGACTTGCCTAGGGCAGTGGTCCTCAAAGTGTGATAGCTGGGAGTCTTCTGGACCACATCTGTTGATAATGAAATAATATTTGTAAAGTGCTTAGCACAGCACCTGGAATGATTGTTGTTGCTTAGTTGTGACCCCCAAATGGTGTTTCCTTGGCAAAGATACTGGAGTGGTTTGCCATTTCCTTTTCCAGTGGATTAAGGCAAGTTAAGTGCCTTGCATTGTGCTAAGAGCTTGCTAAAAAGGGTCCCATTTGATCCTTACTACAATCCTGTGAGATAGATGCTATTATTCCCATTTTAGAGTTAAGGAAGCTGTTAAGTGACTTGCCCAGGGTCACATGACTAGTAAGTATCTGAGGCTGGATTTGAGCTCAGGTCTTCCTGACTCTAGTGCTCTGTCCACTGCACCACCTAGTGGCCTCTAGAGCCAGTAGGATTTCCATTGCAGTGGGTGGAGGGATGGATTTGCTCAGAGTCACAGAGCCTGACTCGTCAGACATGGGAGCGACTCTACCCAAGTATTCCTGCCTTCAAGGCTAACTCTTCAGCAACAACCCTAAGCTGCCTGGGATGTTTTGGGATGGAGGGTATATGAAGAAGACAGTAAGCCACCTGAAGACAGGGACTATATCTTAGTATCCCCCAGGGCCTGCACAGCCATCGTTTTGTAACTTGATTCAATTCAGCAAATATCAGTTGAGCACGTACCAGGAAAAGTGAGCTGTTAGTATTTGCTGATTGACTGACAAGATTCATTCTCTTGTATTTTCTGAGCTGTCCTCTGGGGCATCATGGTAAATGGATGATAGAGGGTGGAAAGAAAGAAGGGACTCTGCCTTTAAATGAGGGATGAGGAGGGGTATATTGTGGCTGACCTCTTCCCAGAACCCTAGGCCAATGGGATAGGCCAGTACCAGCCTCCACCCGGCATCCTGTACCTTTAGTTATATAATTCTGATGGTACTGGACCCTGACTTCCCTCTCTCCCAGGGGAGGCAAGCATGGCAGACTTACCAAGCAAGAATGTGCTTATCAGGGGTTGGCAGCAGCCTTGCGCACCCCTCCCTCCTGGGGCCCTGGCGGCTTCCCTTGTGCAGGCTGACAATATTCCACTTGTCAGAGATTAGCACCAGCTTCTCCCAGGCCAGATAAGCCAGCGGTGGACATGGGAGTGCTCAAAGGGTGGGGAAAGGGAGAAGAGTTCATTCCAAACGGCTTTGAGGCCTTCCCCAGAGTCTATGGTCTCTCCAAAGTTCTAGCCAACTTTGCTTTACTCATACTGCACTTAATCCTCAATTTCATCCATGAGGGCATTCCCAGGCAGATCACCACCCATTCAAGCCTGCTCATCTTATGTGACTCCTAGCCCTGGCTTACCAGGAGTTCAGTACAAGGGGCCCACCTATGCTGGGGGCCTTCTTTGATTTCTTCATGGAGCACATCCATTGTGTATCCCTCACTCATCATCTTTTTCACTCATACATTTCTTTGTCTTTTAACCAATGCTTCCTTGTTTTAAAAATGAGGATATGATGGATGGATGAAGTCCACCCTCACTTTGTGGAAGAGAAAAGAAGAGAGAGGGAGAGAAAGGAAGGAGAAAGAAAGAGGGAAAGGAAGGAAGAAAGAAAAAGTTAAGGGAGGGAGGAAAGGGAAGAAAGGAAGGAAGAAAAAAGGGAAGGAGGGAAGAGAAAGAAAGGAAGGAAGGAAGAAACCCTTAGAATCAACCTTAGAAACCATTCCCTTGGTTGAATGTAAGATCCTTGAGGGCAGGGACCCTCATTTTTGCCTTTGAATCTTCATTGCCTTTGTCTTATGGAGGTAGGACTTTGACAAAGGCTTGGTGATTGAGTTGATAAAGCATCTGTTAAGCCCTTATTATTGGAACCTCACAGTGTTAGGAAGGAAACAAGGATTTGTTAAGTGTCAAATTACTTTGTGTCAAAATTACTTTACAAATATGAATACATTCGATCTCCATAACAGTCCTGGGAGGTAAGTGCCATTATTTTCCCCTGTTTTATAGTTTTATAATTGTTTTATAGTTTTATAGCTAGATGGAGCAGTGGATAGAGCTCCCAGGGTCAGAGAGACTCACCTTTCTTGATCTGACCTCAAATATTAGCTGTGTGACCCTGGGCAAGTCATTTAATCCTGTTTGCCTCATCTGTATAAATGAACTAGAGAAGGAAATGGCAAACCATTCTGGTATCTGTGCCCAGAAAATCCAAAATGGGGTCACAAAGCGTCAAGACATGATTGAAAAACACAACAGTTGAAGAAGCTGAGACACAGAAGTTTAGGGGTCACTGAGGCTGGATTTAACCTGGGTCTTCCTGACTCTAGGCTCGGCACTCTTTCCATTGAGCCACTAGCTTCCACACTGATGGGTTCTGGAAATACAAACACAGAAAAGCAAGGCAGTCTTAGCCTTGAAAGAGCTTACGGCCTAATGGGAAAGGACAATATGAAAGGCTTAGAAATAGATAGAACGTGACGCAGAGACCTGCTTCTGGGCTCCAGTCGCTTGAAAGCTCATCTTAGGGTGCTCAAGGTCACACGGCTAATAAGTAGCGAAGGCAGGCCTCCAGCCCAGGTCTGGTTCTGGAGTCCTGGGGCTCCCGCGTGGTCATCCCGCTCTCCACCTCCCCCAGGGAGTGGCACCAACATTATCTCTGTCCTTTCCTGTTCTCCATTAAAGAGAAGATCTGATAAGTGAATCAACAGCAAACAATCCCTGGGTCTGGTCCCTAAAAGGCCCAGCGTGTTTTTATGGCAAAAAGAAAGCAGCTTTGCAGGCCCTAGCTCACTCCCTAAATGAACAAGTAATTTTGGCCCTCTGGACTCATCTGTAAAGTAGGGATGTAATAACAATGATAATAGCTAGCATTGACATAGCTTCTACTATGTGCCAGGCATTGTGCTAAATGCTTTACAATTTTTGTCTCATTTGGTCCTCAACTACCTTGGGAGGCAGGTGCTATTACTATCCCCATTTTATAGAAAAGGAAACTGAGGGAGACAGGTTAAATCACAGCTATTAAGTGTCTGAGGCTAGATTTCTGACTCCCACTATACACATTGTCACCTGGCTGCTTCACAATAAAGATGAAATAGGATAATTGACAGAGGATCATAGAATTTCAGAGGTGAAAGGGTTATCTAAGAGGAGAAAACAGGCTTAAATCAGTGAATCAATAGCATTTATTAAGAACCTACTAAGTGCTGGGCATTTTGTTGGGTGGTAAGAATGAAACAAAGCCTGTCCTCAAGGAGTTTACATTCTATCAGGAAGAGCATGAATACATACAAGTGTGTAGAAAATAAAGATAGGGGCAGCTAGGTGGTGCAGTGGATAGAGAACCGGCCCTGAAGTCAGGAGGACCTGAGTTCAAATCTGGCCTCAGACCAAACTCTTGATACTCAATAGCTGTGTGACCCTGGGCAAGTCACTTAACCCCAATTGCCTTAAAAAAAATAAGTAATTGGTACGTGGAGGGGGTAGGTAAGAGCAGCTGAGGGGCTCAGGAAAGGTTTCGTATGGGAGGTGATATTTGAACAAAACTAATAAATGCACGAGGGGCAGCTAGGTAGTGCAGTGGATAGAGCACTGGACCTGGAGTCAGGAAGATCTGTGTTCAAATCTGGCCTTAGACATGAGTTGTGTGACCCTAGGCATGTCACTTAAGTTCTGTCTGCCTCAGTTTCCTCAACTGTAAAATGGGGGTCATCATAGCACCTACCTCCCAGGTTTGAGGTAAGGATCAAATAAGATAATATTTGTAAAGTGCTCAGCACACAGTGCTTGGTACATAGTTGGAATTTTTTTTAGCTTAAAGTGCTTACTTAGCGCATAGTGCCTGGTACATAGTAGGAGCTATATAAATGTTAGCTATTATGGCTGTTTTTCTTATTATTAGTGTCTGAACATACTCCAGATCAGAGGGAAGAAGCTGGGGGACAATGAAGGTACTCGGTAAGCTGAAGCAAGAGTCCAGATAGCTTGACTTCTATTTCAACATTCTTTTGTCCAGCTTGGTGCTGGCTTCTTGGCCAGTGAGAGGCAGGGTAGCCTAGCGGGGAGAACAGGCACTGGAAAGCTCTAAAGAGCAGTTCTTCTGCTCGGGTCAGGCCAGTGCCGTCTTTGTTTTTCTATCTGTGAGACGGATTCCCCCACCCCTAGGTTGGGTAACCCAGTGACTGCTCCCTCTTCTAGGTCTCTCACTCCCACCTTGGAAATGATGGAAGCCCAGGAGAGCAGCGTCCAGTATAACAGATGGAGCAACAACCAGGACGAGGTCAGCATGAATATGTCGACCTCGGGAGGCGTGGACTGTGAGCGGTAAGGAGCCCCAAGACTCCGCCGGGGTGGGCCGGGGGGAGTGGGAGGCCTCGGCCACGTTCTTTAAAGCTCCCAACCTGGCGCTAGTCTCCAAGATGGCTCCCAGCTGGACCATAGATGGCTCCACACTGGCTAGCACCCCTGTGTGCCAAGAATTGTGTGCCAGCTTCTTTCAAGACCCAGCTCAAGTCCCACCTTTTGCAGGAAGCCTTTCTTGGTTCCCCAGCTGCTTGTACCGGTCTTCTGAGATTATGATATAGTTCTTTATATGTTATCCCTTCCATTCTAACATAAATTCCTTGAGGATGGGCACTTTTGTGTTTTGGCCTTTCCTTGTATCCTCGTGCTTAGCACAGTGCCTGGCACATAGTAGGTGCTTAATAAATGCTTATTGACCGACACAGTCTCTCCCCTGTTCAGGAACCGATAGCTCCCAACGGACCTGTCTCAGCTTGACATTCGATGCCCTTCATAATCCCACTCTCCCCTGCCCCCCAGCCAGCTTTGGCTCATGCCTCTGTCTTCTTTTCAGCCAGCCTAGTACCCCTTCTACCATCTCCCTTCTTCATTCATGGTCTTTGCCTTCCTAAAATGTCCTTCCGTTCCCTACCCTTGCCTCTCATCTAAACTCTAACCATCCTTCAAGGCTCAAACCAAGTTCCGTCTTCGTGCCTCCTTCTCCCTTCTCTGATTTCTCTAGGACTCATTCTCTAGCACACATCACAGGCCTTACTCATAGGCAGCCTTGCATGGAGCTTTGAGGCTTAGTGAGTGTCCCGTCCTGTCTCCCCACCACACCTAGGCAGGAAGCAAGCAAGCTCCCGGAGGGCAGGGAGTCCTATCTTGTAGTAGGTCTTCTTCATTTCCCCAATGCCTAGCAGAGTAAGCACTCATTAGAAACTCTGATTAGAATTAGAATTAGAAACAAGCATTGATTACGGACCTACTATGTGCTCAGTTGCTAGACATACAAAGGCAAAAATGAAACATCCCTACCCTGGTGTGGGGAACTTGGAGACAATAGGACCTAAGCCTGATCTCAGCTCTGCCGCTGAATACCTTCGAGACTTTGAGCAAGTCACTTAAATTTTCTGTTCCTCAGTTTCCTCATCTGTAAAATGGACTAGAAGTTTACATTTTTCCGAGTTGAATCCACACTAGAAGTGGGCAGTTACTGGGTCAATGTTTGTCTCTCCAGGGCCTCTGGCTCTGCCATTTATGAGCTGTGTAACACTGGGGAAGCTGCTTCTCCTTTCTAAGCCTCAGTTTCTTCATCTGTAAAGTAGGGATGATAATTTGGAAGCCTGGGTTCACGTTCTAGCTCTGCTACCCGGCTGATCTTTGGGCAAGACCCAACCTCTCTGGGCCTTCCTCTGCAAATGAGGGGCTTGAAACTTCAAAGATTCCCTTCCAGCTCTGGACCTAGGATCCCATGATCTTTTTTTACCTGCCTCATAGGGTTGCACTTAGGAAATCAGGGATTATAGATCGTAGAAACTGAGGCTCAGAGAGGGGCTGCCGTTTGCCAGCCCCTTATCATTATCTCTGGGTATGTCTTCTGCCCCCATAGCCTTATCCCCCGAATATGCAGAGAATATCTTTGTTCCACTCTAGTAGGGTCCAGTCCAAATAGCTATTATGAGCCACTATGGGGATCGATTTCCATCTGTACCTCTCTGACTCAGTTGCCCTCTTTGGGGGCTTGTCTCCTCATACCAGGATCTGCACCAAACTATGCACTGGGAAGCTGGGCATCGCCATGAAGGTGGCAGGTGGAATCGTTCTGTTCTGGGTCATCTTCATCATTGGCTACGTCACCGGCTACTACATCCACAAGTGCAAATAGCACTTGTCTGAGCTTGCTGGATACATTTTTGAGGAGCCCTCCAACTACCCAGAGACCTCTTACTTCCTGGCTCAGACCACCATGTCAGGCTGGCCCCTGGGGGCACATGCACCTATAGATATAGACACACATACACATAGGGACAGATACGGACACATACTGAATCTCTTTTCAGAGAAAGAGAGAGACACATACCTAGAGTGACAGACACACACAGGCACATGCTGAAACAGACACTGGATAGAAGGCAGCCATACATGAGACAGATAGACACAGAACATAAACACAAATCTCTCTTCTCCCCTGTCCCAGGATAGAACTCCAGAACACGCCATCTACATCCTATCCTTCCCCTGCCACATTCCAACATCAGGGAGAGGTACCACACAGTTACTGAAGCCCAGGACTGCATCTCCCACTCATCTCCTCGTTTGTCACCCCTGTGTTCTTCCTCACTGACCAGATGACCTTTTCTTTGGACCTGTGGCTGCCCTTGACAGCTAGAGGTCCAAGAAAGATGAGGGAGACCAGGGCACAGTTTTACCTCTCAGAAACCTTTCTGCAGTGCTGGTTTATGTTCAGAACTACAGTCAGATCTAGTGTTCCTATGCAGTATCTACCCACCCTGCCCCATCCTTCGTAAGAGCAAAACTTAGACAGGAGGGAAACCACACAGTCAGGGAATGCTATACAGGGAACTCATCACCAAAGTGAGACTCAGAATGAGAATCAAGGCCACTTCTAGGGTTCAGTTTCTGCCCATCCCTGTTCTAACCACAGGTGGTGGGGGTAAAATCTACTTCGCATTTGCTGTGACCTTTTCCCCCATCCCTGCCCTGCCCCTAACCCCCAACTCCACTGCTTGAGAAACTAGACATAGTGTGAACCTGGTTTCAACATAAATTTGTTGAAGAAGAGAAAGGCAGTGGCTGACTTATCTCCAGCAAAAAAAAAAAAAATTAAAGGGAGGCAGCATCATGTATGAGAAAGAGGTACTTGGTTCAAATCCTGACTCTCCTATTTATGTGTGAGCATGGGAATGTCGAGAAAGTCACTTATCTCTGGGCCTCAGTTTCCTCAACTGTAAGATGAGACTATATGGCTTTGAAGGTCCCTTCCATCTCTAAATACATGCTTCTATGGCAATGATTCAACATGGAATCCCAGCAAAGCCAAAAATTTCCCATGTCTCTGGGGGTCAGCAGGGAAATTCATAGCCTTACCTCCTAACCCCTGTTGTTGAAGATCCTAGGTTCATAGACCCCCAGCTGTGTCACTGGTCCCCTTAAGTGTGTATATGTGTGTTGAGGGGTAGGTCTCAGTCTTTCCGCTCTGGAGCCTTGTAAGAGGTATCCCCTATAAAGATTCCTTTGCCCCCTCTCCTGGATTTGCCCTCAATTGCTGCAGTAAGTACCAGGGAATTCTGTCCCCTGGCCTTCCCTGAAGGAAGAAAACCCCAGTGAATCTGAATTGGGGGCCTGCTATTTCTGATGGCCCCTAGTCACAGGTGCCAGCTACAAAGACTCTGGGAGCCCAAGAGAAAGCCCCCATCCTGATCCATGATCTTACCCAAGAGGCAGAGGCTGAGCCATGGAGGACTGGGGTGTTCTGGGGGTTGAGTCCCAGCCTCCATACCCCACGCCCTTCTTGTGCCTTTCCAGAGAGGCAGAATAATGGAAAAGAAGAAAAAAAAACGCCCTAGACTAGAAAGATTCAAATAAACAGCCACTTGTGTGACCTCAAGCCTGGTTCCCTCTCTGAGTCTTAGCTTTTTCCTCCTATAAAGGACAAGATGCTTCCCAGGAAAGAACTATCCAGCCTGGCACAGGTGGCTATGGTGGGGTTAATGTGGGGGCAAAGTTGAGTCACCTGGAATACGGGCTGCCAATACTGGGGCGTCACCTAGGCTAGGCTCAGGAAAGGGAGGAAGTACTCCCAAGGATGGGGCTGTTGGATCCCCTTCATTTCCCAGTCCAGAGTAGGGGAGCCCCTACTCAGACACTATGGCTGTGTCAATGTTCAGAGGTCCCTATTAGTTTGGATGTTCTACAAGTCTATAGTGCCAGCTTTGTTCTCTTCCCACCCTCTTTACCCCCAGTGGTCCTTCCTTAGACCTGGGCTTACCAGAAGTAGTTAATATAAAAGGCTTTAATGGAAATCTTGACAACCTGGGGCTATAACCCAGGCTCTGTCACCTACTTAACCTTGGACACATCTCATTTAACTTTTTTGAAGGCTTAATTCCTTTATCTGTAATATGGAGAGGGGGAGGGGGTCCCTACCTTACAGGGCTTTTGTGAGGATCAAGTATGAAAATAGAGGTGAAAGGGGCAGCTAGGTGGCGCAGTGGATAGAGCTCTGGCCCTGGAGTCAGGAGGACCTGAGTTCAAATGTGACCTCAGATACATAACACTAGCTCTGTGACCCTGGGCAAGTCACTTAACCCCATTGCCTAGACAAAAAAAAAAAGAGAGAGAGAGAGAGAGAAAGAAAATGGAGGTGAAAGAACTTTGGAAAGGACAAAGGGCTCTGGCTCTCTAAATGGGGTAATGTTCACCTTCATTTTCGAAGAGGACTATTGACATCAGGGGTGATGTCTTAGGTTCAGGAGTGAATTGGATTTAAGTGTTTGAAGGGATGTCATGTGGAAGAGAGATCAGACTTTCTGCTTGGCCTCAGAAGGTGGGATCAGGAGTGATGAACAGAAGCCAGTTTGGGTTGGAGGTCAGGAAATACTTCCTAACAACTAGAGCTGTACAAAGGTGAGCTTCCTTGGGAGATAGTAAGTCTTCCTTGGAGACCTTCAAGCATTGACTGGACAACCACTCCCTGGCGGCGTCATAGAGAGGACAGTGCCAAGATTCTGTGACTCATGTTTGAACCTAATCAGGCATAATAACCATTGGCACAAAGTTCCCCGTAGGAAGAAGGATCTGTTTAGGGGACAGCTAATTCTGCCCCCTTTCAGAATGTCTCCTAACTATTCTATAACTATGTGCCTTGTCATTTACATATATTCCCATTAGAATATAAGCTCCTCCATTATCCCTAAGGATAATGACTTTTTGCTTCATTTGGTTTTGTCATTCTGTGTCCCAAGTGTTTAAAGCTATGCTTAAGCACCTAATAAATGATGGTTAATTAATCGTCACCCTACTAGAAGACTTAGGGGCAGCTAGCTGGCACAGTGGATAGACCACCAGCCTAAAAGTCAGGAGGCCCTGAGTTCAAATCCAGCCTCCAACACCTACCAGCTGTGTGACCCTGGGCAAGTCACTTAACCCTGTTTGCCTCAAGTTTTCTCAGATATAAAATGAGCTGGAGAAGGAAATGGCAAACCACTCCAGTATCTTTGCCAAGAAAACCCCACGTGGGGTCATGGAGAGTCAGACACAACTGAAAAAACAAAGACAAAAACCAGAAGACCTAGCCAGAGGAGGGGATAGACCCTAGCTCACTCCTTTTCTGGAATTTCTAGAAGGCAGCACACTACCATGGAAAGAGCTCTGGATTTTACTTTCAGGAGATCTGGACTTGAATATCATCTCTGCTACTGACTGACATTGGACCAAATACATTAGTTCAAGAAGCATTTAGTAAACACCTATTGCTGGGCTGAGACAAAAGTGAAGAGGAATGAGATTTTTAAAAATATTTTATTTTTCGCAGTTACATGTAAAGACAATTTTTTTTCTTTTTTTTTTTTTTAGGCACTTGGGGTTAAGTGATTTGCCCAGGGTCACACAGCTAGTGCATATCAAGTGTTTGGTCTGAGATCAGATTTGAACTCAGGTCCTCCTGACTTCAGGGCCAGCGCTCTATCCACTGTGCCACTTAGCTGTCCCATGACAATTTTTGACATTCATTATTTTTTTTCAATTTTGAGTTCCAATTTTTTCCTCTTTCTCTGAGACAGTAAGCAATTTGTAGGATGATTGTATAGGCCTTTCTATGGTCCTGAGGGGCCTTGCCTTTAGTTCAAGCACTCCGGAGTGGGAGATAACCTTTGACAAGCTGTTTCCCAGCTCAGGCCAACTCTCCCCACACCTCCTTCCCTTCCTCCAGTCCTTCCCTCAGGATGTCCAGGTTAGACTGTTGGAAACTCCAGGGCTTGGAAAGGGGCAGAAGGGGAGATACCCCTAACATGTACCTGCTTCCCTGTGACAGGAAAGGAATTGATCTTTCAGTTGGAGTCCAGGGACCTCCTGTGTCCCCATGCTAGGTTAAATCAAACTGGCCTTTGCTCAGGCCCAGTGGATGGAGTCAGGCACCTAGAGATGGGACGGTGGCATCTTAGAGATTCTGCTGAGGGACCTCGGTGGGGTCTTGGGGACCTTACACCCCACCCCAAAATGAGCAACCAGTTTGACTGGTCCCAGAGGAAGTTTCAGTGATGGTTCTTTCTCTGCTCTTTGTCAGGGGCAGGGATAAGATCAATCCACACCGTGCATGATACAAATACAAACACTAGCCCAGTTGCCTTCAAGAAGCTTGCATTCTCCTGGGGGAGGAGGTGAAGGAAGACGATAGTGTGGAAAGAGCCTGGGTGGGAATTCTAGGTCCACCTCTTAGCACCTGTGTGACCTTGAACAGGTCACTCCCCTTCTCTGCTCGGTTTCCTCATTTGTAAACTTTGAAGGGGATGGATTAAATGATCTCTTCTAGCTTTAAACCCGTGAACTCCTCCCCTCTGGCTCTGTTCCCCAGGAATGTGCCTCCTGTCCACCCCCTATCCCCAACTGGGCTCAGAAGCAAAACAAGCGACTTCCAGCGGCCAGAGGGTGTGTCTGGGCCTGGAGCCCAGTACACAGAGGGCTTTGTGGTCAGAGCAACTGGCCCTGGAGGGAGAGAAGAGCTCTGGCTCTGGCCTCAGTGTCCTCTCCTAGGCCTCCCACTCTGTTCAGGATGCTGGCTGCTGGCCCCTGGCTCCTCCTCTCCTGGGCCCAGATCCCATGCTCCCAGGGCTCTCCCTTCCCCAACAGACCGGGAGCTGAAATCTTAAGCTTCGGAGGGCTGGAGGGTTCAGAGCAGTCTGGCTGGGGGGAGGTCCCAGCTGGCCCTTGGAGGGAATCTGTTCCATGACGCAGGACCTGCTCCATCCCATAACTGGAGTCACTATCCCAGCAGGAAGCCAGCTGTTAAACTCCAAAGCAAACCCGGAGCCCCAGGGGAAGGAAGATTCGACAGGCTAAGCTGAGAATAAGGAAAGTGAAGCCCCAGGGGAGCCAGCCTGCAGGCGTCAGCCTCGATCTCATCATAGGAAAGAACATTAGAGGGATTCAGGTTCAACCTGCAACTGACCCAAGAATTTCAACAAGTCATCCAATCTCTTGAAGACCTTCAGGGATGGGGAGCTCACCGTCTTTTGAAGCAGCCCATTCCGACTTTGGACACTTCCAATTGTTAGGATGGACAGATAGGCAGCGCAGTGGTTAGAACCCCTCTGGGCTTGGGTTCCTGAAGTCAAATCCAGCCTCAGACACTTTCTAGCTGTGTGACCCTGGGGAAGTCATTTAACCCTGTTGCCTCAGTTTCCTCATCTGTAAAACCAGCTGGAGAAGGAAATGGCAAACCGCTACAGTATCTTTGCCAAGAAAACCCTGGATGGGGTCAGAGTCAGCACTACTGAACAATTGTTAGGATGTTTTTCCTAATGCCCAGTTCACACCTGCCTCTTGCCACTGTCCACCATTCCACTCACTAATCCCAGTTCTGCTTTTTAAGCTAAGCAGACCACATGACAGCCTTTCAAGATTTTTGAATATAATACTCTCCTGTACCCAAGTCCTCTTCCTCAGGTTAAATAGCCCCAGTTTCAACTGGTCTTCAGAGGATATAACCTCCAGTCCCTTCCTCATCTTGCTTGTCTGGCTCTGAGTGGGCTCTCAATTAATAATGTCCTTCCAAAAATGTGAGTTCAGAGTCAAGTACAATGTAATAATGGTTCTCATTTACAAAGCACTTTAAGGTTTGCAAAGCACCTTCCATACATTATCTCGTTTCCCCCTCACATTGATACTGTGAGGTAGGTGTTATACCCATTTTACAGACGAAGAAACTGAAGCAAACAAGTTAAGTCATTTGTTACACAGGAGTGTCTGTGGCTGGGTTTGAATTCACGATGTCCTGATTCCATGACCAATGAACTGTACTGCCTCAAAAGGCTTTCTGGCCAGGTAACGGGATCGGTCAGAGAGTGAAATGGTTTCAATGCCTTGGTCAGTAAGAACTATATAGGAAGAAATCACCCTCACATTTATCCCCTATCTCTGAAGAAGTCCAGACCCAAGCAACCACCCCACCATCACCCACTGTGATATGGTGACATTGTCAGTGCCGGGGAGTATCCTCTCCACCACCCCCACAATTCTTTCTTCGATCTCATTGAATTAGTTCATGCTAAAGTTGAATGTGATAAAATCTGGGCAGTGTGGTGCAAAGGAAAGGGGCCAGATCAGAAGATCTGGGTTTGAATTTATAATTTTGCTCTGCTGTCACCTTGGCTAAGTAGCTATCCCAGTCTGGAACTTGGGAGGTTTAGATCGGATGATCCTGAGTTCTCTTTTAAAGGACATAGAGTTCTTTAAATTCAGCTTTTTTGTTGTTTTAAATTTTTATGGCTTTTTAAAAATCAACATCCTCATTTTTTTACAACATCATAATTTCCAAGTACATCCATCTCCTCTCCCCAACCCAGAGGAAGCCCAAGCTATCTCTTGTAATAAAGAAAGGGGAAGAGGAGA